GGTGGCTATCTGTGACAATCATCACGTGGGTCACTTCTCAATTATCGAATCAGAATTTCAAGCTTGTAATTATATAACACCCTCAGAAAAGATGATCTGATAAAGAGTGGTTATAAAATAAGTCAGTATTTTGAAATAACAAACTGATATTAATCATATGACCCAAGAGAGATAATAAACAATTGATCGAGTACACTGTGATTCAAACCCACTACCCATGAATTCTTTCTGATCCATCTTGCTCTCAAGCAATGGAGGAAAATAAGCAGGTATGGGTGAAAAATTTGGTTTGGAAAGAACTTAGGCTTCTGAGTAAATTGTTGTGGACACGGCTCCCTCTAGTGTACTGAACAACACAGGTGCCCCCTGCCAGTGGCTGAGGATTCTTATTTCCAATCACAAGCTTTGTTTGAGCTGCCCAGATCTCTTTTCACACCACCTTCCTTCCTCTTGAACAAACAACTATAAGTCAGGGAAGAAAGAGGGACAGACGTCCTTTATTTCACTGGGTTGGAACGCTGATTATTACGGGGGCAGTAAATTGATTGGAAGTATACAAATATTATCAGAAAATATCTAAACATTTTATTTTAAAAAGTTTTTTACTTTTTCCTGAGGTGAGAAACTGTAACTACGGAGAATAAGCAAAACTGAAAGAAGATTTCTAGTTAATCATTTCACTAAAGAGGTCCCATTTCGTGTTTATCAAAATATTAATCATCTGGAAATATATTGTTCTCGAGCAGGATACCTGGGCCATTTGGAAAGCCCAAAATTAAATCACAGCAGAAGGAAAGGAAAGCAATGCTCCCAATGGGGAGAAATGAAACGTAATGATATATATTGAAGCAATGTTTCTCAAAGCATCGTCTCCAGAACATTGGTTCTACAAGGTAGCAATGGTCTCATTCAAATAAAGGTTCCATATCAAATAATTTTTAAATATTTGGGATTTGGCAAAGATGAACTGATTTCTTAAAATAACTTTGGTATGGCTCAGAGCTCTTCAGAAGCCCTCACTATACCACCATATCATGTGACACCACACTCAGAACGGCAGCATTTACCAAAGTATTTAACGGTGATTTTTAAAATGCTTATTCTTTTGAGACTGTGCACTGGATCAGAATTTCATTATCTTCCAGTCAAAGACAGATAACAAATATGAAAGCATGCTGAAGAAAAGAATATAGATTTGATACAAACAGGGTGACTCTTAGAAAGCTGTGGTCAGTATCTTCCACATTTGAAAAGTTAGCAATACAATGTTTTAAAGTCTCAGTCCATGGCAGTTTTATAGTTGGGTCAAAAGCATCAGCCATGCTGAAAGCATCACCAACCCACAAAATCACTACCACATTTCTCCTACATCATAGCTGAGATGTTACTTCCAGGAGTAAGAAACAAGACTTCAAAAAGTGCAACACCCAATCATACCAGATTTTGAATTTTTATAAAACTTTTTCCTCGTGACAATTCATATTAATTCAGATGGATGTGAGAAGCTTATTACTGGTGTTGTTGTTGTTGTTGTTACTATTATCAGGCTCATAAACACACAGGGCACTTTGAAGAAGTTAGAGGAAGCCAATACTGCAAACTGAAACTAAAGATGAATCTTGCAACTGACAGCTAGACAAGTCCCTCTTAAAGAATGTTGGAGAAAAATGGAAATCTGCAAAGTGGTTTGTCTTAGACAACAGCACAGTAAGTAGAATAGCAGAAGCAGATCAGGAGATGGTGACTAGACAGTTCTTCAAGGAAGGTCTCTGCTCTATTACCCCGGCTCTTGTGTAGTAGAGTTCTATTCACATTTCAAGAGTGTGGTTTTCTATGAACTCACCAGCAGGCTGGGCAACGACGCTTACAGATGTGAAGGATGGGGTCTTGATAGACCTGGGAATGAGTGCAATTATGTTTTTCTTCCTAGGGATACAGTGTTCTGTGATGAGAATGAGTCCTTCATCAACTGTGGAAGGACTGTGGCTCTTAGTCTCTTGGTGTTTAGGGGTGGAGGGGGTAAGAAAGTTCACCCCAGAAGCAGTTTGTGGATTTCAGTAGACCTCTTATTTTCTCTCTAGAGCTTTCCAGCTGGTTTGATTTCAGGCACTGGGAGGTCAAGTGATTTACCCTGAAGCCCGGTGAAATAGACCTGCTGAGATTTGAACCCAGGACTTCTCTGGTATGCACCCTTTTCCCGCAACAATCTCTCTGCTTTCTGGTTGCATCGAGTCTGCAGTCTGCACTATGCAGTCAGTATGCTGGATCTGGCTGGTCCCACCCTCCGAGCCGTCTCTGCTTGGGACTGGAATAAAAGGCATGTTACAGGTCAAGTCTGAATGTTCTGGCAGCACAACCCCCAAGGGCAGACGGCTCCATGCCTGCTCAAAGCATACAGCATCTGGTGGAAGCCAGATTGAAGATAGCTAAACTCACCCGCCAAGATTCCAAAAGGAAAAAAATTGCTCTCATTTTTACTTTGCATGGTGACTTTTCTTCCCCTCCCCCCTCTCCCCTTAAGAGGGAATCCCCATGTTTACAAGTTGCAATCCAAGATGCGTAAGTGGTCAGTTCACAGTTCTGTGACCCATGAACATCTGTGGGTCTGGGTGTTCCTTGGGAATTAGCAGTGCTGGGAGCAGTGAGCCAAGCCTGCCCTAGGCTGAAAGGAATTCTCCAGTGAAACAGTCAGTGAGCAAGGCCTGCAAGGGGTTGGGGCCTGGTTAGCCTCTAGTTCTGCCTTCCAGAGACCTGTTTGCACTCAAATTCAACTAGCTTTATGAGTTACATTTTGACTGTAGTTTTTCAGGTGGGTCCATGTGGAACTTTTCACAGGAAGTAGGACATGAACCTTCATTTTGCCTTTGAGATGGGCAAACAGACCCAAGTCTGTTTACTGAGAAACAAGAACCTGTGTCCTTTTAAGAGATCAGAACATTCTAGAATAAAACACTCATTTTCTATCTGTCCTGGAAGATATGACTGAGCACCAGTAGGGAGGGGGTCCTCAGCCCTGATTTCCAGGAAACCAACAGGTAAGCACATAAAATTCCACTGTGGCAGGTGGTTCTGAATGTGGCTGGATGTCTCTCGCCATTTCCATTCTAGGTTCTAGGTCAGGAGATGAACTTTGGCTCTGTCATCACTTTAAAGTTTTAATTTGGTAGATGCTCAAAAGTGAATTCAGTGAGCTCTTAAAGGAAAATGTTAGTGTGTGATATATTTGTATTTCCTCTCTGGACCTTGGTTTCCTTGGCCAGATCACTATTGCTGAGCTCTGTAGCAACTTTAGGAGTTCCAATTTGAGGCTCACTTGTCTCCTAGGTGGAGTTCAATTCTTTTGTTCTAACTGTTCTGTTGCAGTTTGGGTACTACGGGATAAATTGTGTTTCCGCCAAATCCACATGTTGAAGTCTTAACCAATACCAGAGACAGGGTATTCAAAGAAATTTGTAAGTTAAAAGGCAGTCTTTAGGATGGGCCCTAATGCAGCATGACTGGGGTTCTTATAAGAAAAGGACATTTTACTCATGGTGTAGCTCAGTGCTAGGTCTGCCTGGCATGCATGAGGCTCTGGGTTAGATCCTAGTATAGCGGTGGGGGAGGAAATGTGGGCATAGACACATAACACACAGGAAGGAAACCACATGAAGACACAGGGAGGAGGCAGCCATCTGGGGGTCCAGGAGACGGGATGCAGAACTAATCCAGCCCTACTCGTACCTTGTTCTTGGACTTCTAGCCTTTGGAACTGTAAGAAGAGAAATTTCCATTGTTGAAGCTCCCAGTCTTTGGCACTGTCTCTGGTAGCCCACGCTGCCGACTACACTGGGCCCTATGACAAGGACTTCTCTGCATTATGAGAGAAGTTCTGTTCATTTTTCTTAACAGATCCTTAATAGAGATTTTAGCCTAAAACAGATTTTTCTGTAGCAGAACATTCATATATTTTGTTTACTTTTATAGGTTTCTTTACCATCAGATGAAAAATATGTTATTTTCATAAAATAAATCATCTTTACATTTTCTTGAAGGAAATTCACAATTTTGACCTACAGGGGTATTTATCTTAATGGTGATGAATTGTCATTTTGTCTTGGGAGAAATATTGCCATTATCTATAAAATTCATTTAAAGCAAATAGCTCACTGGAGTAACTTCTAGGAACCAATACATTTGTAAAGAACTTTAGGTCAACTGAACAAGAGCAGATGTGGTACAGTCCAACTTTTGCTTAGTATTTTTGACTTTACATTGCATTCAAAGTTATTTAACTAGGCTGCAGAAGTACAAATTAAATGGTAGAGAAGGCTCATACTTCTCACTTGTTGCTTAAGGTGTTTAGATTCTTGAAATAAATCATGTTATTACCAAAATGGAGTTGTCTTTCCCCTAATATCAAATTGAGTTCTTTCTTCTACAAAGGAGTCACAGGTGCTTGGAATGTAATATGCGACATCTAGAAAGCATGGGGATTCTCGTCTGTTTCTTCTCTGTAAGTTAAGTTCCACCGGACCACAGCAGTGAAATTTTCCAGGATGGGCATTTCTGGGTCAAGACCTCTTGAGAAATTAGAATCATCCAGTGTTTGAGGCTCTGAATATCTGAGAAACAGATCAGCTTACACACTGAGAGAGGAAGCATGTCCTTTTTTCACTACCTTACTGTACATATGCAACCTTTATAATCCCTGTCAGAAATCAAGGATTCCAGTGCAACGCCCTGACACCAAGCCAAAAGGTGGAAACAGAAATAATGTCCATGGTTTACTATTTTATATACACAGCTAAATGAATGAGAGGATTTGCTCATTTTTTGACAGTGTTTTTGGGTATCTTACAGTTACAAAAATGAAAGTTGATAGATTTTTCAGAAATGTATCTTTTCCAAATGACATTTTAAGGAAAAAAACTTTGTTGTGAATAAGAAGATTGAGGGGTCTGTGATGATTTACAGGCATTTTTACTTCTAGTTATCAACAGAATGGAAGAAATTCCAACTTATTTATATTCATTTATTTATATAGGTAATGAATAAGTTAAGGAACACTTCATTTCAAACACAGATTGCTTTTATTTTAGCTAAGCTTATGTTTAAGTTCCATATGTATTTTTGAATTTCCATCAATGTCAAACGTTATTTTTTTCTTCTTTAGGAAAAAAAGATTTACAAGCACTTTTACAGCACTCAAGGAAAGTAGGCTGAGGGTTCATAATAATAATTTTCCTTTTAAAAAACATCCATCAGACCAAAATAAAATCATTTTAATTAACTCCTTCCTGAGTAACTAAAACCTTGGAATGTGCTGAAAGGTTATAATAAATAAGGCAGTCAAAGATCAACTAGCTTAAAATGTATTTTTTAAATTAAACTATGTAAAATGTACAGTATATTTCATGAACTACAAACTATATTGGGCCGAGGGCCAAATAAATGTTGTCATGTGTACCAAATAAACCGATGAAGTGCCTTGACTTTTAGGAACTAGGGGCTGTTTATTGGGACAAAATAAGCAGTCCCTACAAATAATGAGTTGGTATCTTTTGTTGTGAAGTTATATTGATCATGCTGAAAATAAGTACCTTTGAACACACAGGTGGAAGTACCCATGTGAACTTGCAGAAAGAGGATGGATTTGTGGAATGACCAATTATTATGTTGTTCTAACAAAAGAGAAAACTTAGCCATCAGAACTTTATTTTCAGATTGTGAGACTGCACAGGGTGTAAACTTACCATCATTCTTTCTATGTAATGTAGTAGAAATGACTCATTACATACCAGGCAGCACTTCTTACACTGTTGTGAACATGATAGCTGTTTTTTAGACTGTTTTTTGAAGTATGCCTAATAGTAGGGCCCTGGTCTGTCTGCACAGGACAAAGGATATTTCTTACTATGTGGACATATCCCTTATTCACTTTGCTGCCCTAGTCCCTTGAAACAGAAAGAAAACCCACGAGTGCTTGGACTTGGTGCCTCTGTGGCCCCTGTCTTCACTGGATGCATGTGGGTTGGAGCCTTCTTAATACATCTCATGATAGAGTAGCTTCACCACACACTTGGCAGGTTCCAAGTGACTTGCTTTGTATCTTGGCCACTGTTTACTTTTAGTGAAGAAAGAAAAAAAATTCCAGAGAGATTGTTGTTTTCTGAAAAGCAGAAAATGTGTAGATTGCCTAAAGTCAGAGTCTTAAGTCCTCTGACTCACTTTGCAGAAATGACTCTTGATGGGTTGGCTCTAAGGGGAAAAATGGAGCAGACAAACTTTCTTGCAAGCATCCTTCCTACTTCTGCCTCTGCATTCTGGTTCCTAGTGTTATCCACCCAGGAGAACATGAACTGTCAGGATTGTTTAAAAAGGTGAAAAACACTTCAGAATTTAAGGGAAAAGATTTCTAATAACTGAATCAATGGGTACGGGCAGATGATGGGGTGGAAGGTGGGCAGATGGGTTTTTTGAGGGCAGTGGGACTGCCCAGCATCTACTCAGATCACACAGGGGCATTCACCTGTTTGTAAAGCTGGTCAGGCAGTCTCCTATAACCCAGACCCCTTACTTTCTGTTTTTGATGTCCTCAACAAGGGTTCTTAAGAGCAAGCACATGCCGTAAGAAATGAGAGTACAGCTCTATTCCTGCCTGCACGGAACTCAGGATCTCTTGTTACTAAAAACAAGTAGGTACCAGAGACCAGATAAGACCCTAGCTGGGCAGGGGTTGACTTCAGAGCTATGCACTGTCTGAGATCAGGTTTAGAGGTCCTGCCATAAAAACAAATGCCAGAGCTAAACTGGTTCCTGAGACTTCTACTTAAACCAGTGCCAGGGACACAGATGTTTCAGATTGGTTGCAAAGCACATGACCGTGTTCTTTTCCTGCTGCACATGGCCCCCACTGCAGCTCTGTGCTGCCTATCCTCTTCCTTGCACAGCAACACAAGTTCTTTTCCTTGTTATGCTCCTTTGGTGACTGTCAGAACGGTGCCTGGAGTTGGAATGTCTCCATGGAACTTGCCATGCACTTTGACTTTGAAAGGTACTCCAGACTCATGGTTTGGGGACACAGAACAAGACAACTTGTTCTTTCAGACATAAGTGCACTGCTTTTGGTGACAGTGTCCCCAAGATGGACCAGAGTCAGAATTCTACCCATGTGGGCAGAAACCATTTAACCAGCGACATCCTTTTTTTGCTGTTCTTATCTTCTCCTCTTAGATGCTTCTAGAGGAGACTCTCTGGTCTGTGAAGTGGTTTTATATTTCTACTGACATATACAAGTCTGAACATCTACCATTGAGCTAATATTTTTACAAGTCATTTTACAAATGATAAATTACTGGGCTGTGTAGTATATTTCTCCTCTTTCTTCCATTGTATGGGGAAGGGGCGGGGAAAGGCTATTTTAGGACATGATGCCTTGTGGAGCCATTTGTGTACCTGGGAAAGCCCCAAGGAGCCAAGAGAAAGCACAGAATAAAATTAAACAAACAACACCCGCAAAACCGGGCATCTCCCAATGACCCCAACATGTGGGAAAGTTTTGTTCTTTTTAATGCACCCGAGCATTAATTTAAAGTCCCTTCAGTATTTTTCTTCCCTCAAACAAAAATCTTTTTGGAAAGGGAGATAGAGCCATGGCGGCAACCAGAGTCAGCATCACCTCTTATAAATATCTTCTAGCCACTTCTCATCATCTTGCTCCTCATCATCGATCGGCTCCTCAGTTTCCAAAGGGGTGGGGATGAAGAACTGTGGTCTCAGGGGGGACCTGCTCACGTGGGACTTCAGGCCGAACTTGCGCTTCAGCAGGTGGAACTGCTCCTTCACGTAGTGGTAGAACTCGTACTCGTATCTCATTCGCTGGTAGAGAATCTGCACGGCCTCCGGGGAGGGAACAGTCTTCTTCACGGTCACAGTCATGTTTCCAAGTTTCCTATGCTCTGGAAGAGAACAGGGTGCATGTGAGCAACTTCCTGCGATGCTTCCGCTTAGCAAGGAGAAGCGGAGACCAAAGAACTCCACAACCAGGCTGCAGACGGGAAAGACCACCCGAAGACACGTGGCGAGGTTTCTCCCTTTAAGGTGTTAGTATGGACTTCAGTTGACTAAACATAAATTATCTAATTTCCTTTGCATGGGATGTGAGCCATGAGATTGGGCCAATTAGTATACATTCTTTTGAATAACAAAACCTCCCCACTTCTCCTCTTTTATTTTCTGATACTACCCAAATACAGGGTTTTGCCTTCAAAGAAGGCACACCAAAGCTGTCTCATCATCTTCTAGTAATCTTGAGATTTAAAAAAAACTAAAATATTGATGCAGGATCCATTTCCACTTCAATATTTCAACAATGCATTTGTCAAAAGAAAGGACTGTAAAGTTTTTACAAATATAAATTTATCTTGCAGATTTTGAACTTTTATAATTGTGGTTATATAAAGCTAAGACTTGTTTATTACTAGTGCTTAATAAATATTTTCTATTTAATACTTCATAACAAAATTTCATTTCTTTTTTATTTTAAAGCAAAAAGAACAATAACAAAATAACAAAAACAAAACAACACAAAAACTATAAAAATGACACAGAATTTCAAAACAAGATGATAGGAAATCAACAATGTTGTTGAGCAACTTCAAAGCAGTTGCTCAGATTACCAGATGTAGGTATGCAAGATTGATCAAACAATTAAACATTAACTGTTCCTTTCAATAGAAAATTAGTAGTAAAATTAGTAGTAAAATAAATCAATAGAAATTAGTAGTACAATTATCTTAGCTATCTTGTGTATATAGACATGTATTTTTTCCTTTTCTTTTTTTTTTTTCTTTTCTCTTTTCCCTTATCCCAGTTCTTTCCTATTGAGCAGTTTCTTTACCTTTCACAATGTCTATTGCACCTTTCAGATTTTATTTATGCTTTCAGGTTCTTATACTAGGGAGATAATACGTGTTTACACATATGGGTCTGACTTATTTCACTTATGAGTACAGTCTCTAGTTGCATCCATTTACCTATAAAAGTGTCGAGTTTATCTTTCTTTATAGCTGAGTAATACTTCACTGAATAAAAATACCACATCTTTTTTATCCACTCCTCAGCTGATGGGCATTTGGGTTATTGCCGAGATTTTGCTATGACAAACTGTGCTGCTATAAACATGGGTGCACATATATTGCTGTGTTATGATGTTTTTAATACTTCTGGGAAAATACCCAGAAGGTGAAAAGTTAGGTTAAAAGGGACCTCTAATCCTAATTTTCTGAGGAATCTCCAGACTGATTTCCAAAGTGATTGCACCAGTCTACTTACCCACCAACAGTGGAGAAGGGTTCCTTTTTCCCCACAGCCCCTCCAGCATTTGTTGTTGGTTGATTTCTTGATGGTAGCCATTCTTACTGGGGTGAGATGGAATCTCAGTGTTGTTTTAATTTGCATCTCTCAAATGACCAATGATGTTGAACATTTTTTCATGTATTTATTTGCCATTTGTATTTATTTGTCTGAAAAGTATGTATTCATCTCAGATGCCCATTTCTGGATTGGGTCTTTGAATTTGGTGGGGGTTCCAATTTTTTTCAATTTTTATATGAAAACACAATTTTAATATAAGTAAAACAAAAATTTAACTGTTTTAAAGTGTATAATTCAGTGACAGTAATGACAGTCACAGTGTTGTGCAACTATCACAGAAATCTCCCAAATCCTTTCATCAGTCCAAATAAAAACTTTGCGTTCATTACATAATTTCCTATTCCCCTGCTCTTCTCAGGTAACCTTTAATCTACTTTCCATCTGTGTGAATTTTTTGTTTATTTATTTTGAAACAGGGTATCACTATGCAGTTCAGGCTGGCCTTGAACTCACTGTGTAGCCCAGGCTGGTCTTGAACTCAGCAATCCTCCTGTGTCAGCCTCCTGAGTGCAGGGATTACAGGCGTGTGCCACCATGCTTGGCTCACCACCCGTGTAAATTTGCCTGTTGCAGTACTTCATATAAGTGGAATCATGTATTTGTCCTTTTGTGTTTGGCTTATTTGCTTGTGTAATGTTTTCACAGTATATCCACGTTGCAGTGTGGATCAGTACTCTCTTTTCATGACTGAATGTCATTCTGCTGTGTGGATATGCCATAGTTTATCCATTCACCCACTGAGAGACATTTGGGTTATTTCCACCTTTTGGCCATTTGTATGGAAATTTGTATATAAGTATCTCCTTGAGACTCTCTTCCTAAATCTTTGGGATATACACCTTATGGTACCTCTGTGTCTAATTTTTGAGGAACCTCTCTGCCGTTTTCCACAAGAGCTGCACAATTTTACATTCCTACCAACAATGTTTGAGGTTTCCAACTTCATTTCCTCTTCCACAATTGCTATTCTCCTTCCTTTTTTCTAAGTTATGGGTATCCCAGTGTGATGTGGGCTCTTGCAGTTTTTATTTGCTCTTGCCTAATGAGTAAGTATTCTGATATAATGTTTTATTATAAGGATGAATGATCTTTTCATGTACTTGATGGCTATTTTCATCTCTTCCATGGAAAAAATGTCTGTTAAGTCCTTGGCACATTTTAAAAATTGGATTGTTGTTTATTGTTACTGAATTGTAGGAATTCTTTATATATTCTGAATATATATCAAGTAGATGATTTGTAATACTTTCTCCCACCCTGGAGGTTTTCTTTTCACTTTTACCCATTCCCTGTGCTTTTGGTGTCACATTTAAGAAATCAGTGCCAAATCCAAGATCATGAACATTTGTTCCAATATTTTCTCCTCCCATTCTTGTTTTTAACTAAACTTTTGTCACTAAACTTGAGTAGATACAGGATTTACTATATACAACTCTGAACAGTTGTTTCCAAAATTAGATTCACCAGAAAGGGCATTTCTCAATTTTGAGGATATCTGAGATACTTTCTGAAGTCTCCAATGGCCATTCTAAAGAAGGAATTAAGAAAATTCTCTCAGTAGTAACATCTCTGTTGAAATAAAGATAGTTTTTCAAGTTGATTCTCTTAAAAGCATAATAAACATTTGTCAAAAATTTGGCATGGCTCATCTAAAGTGGGTTCATGATTGAATATTTTATCGTATGTGTCTTCTTTGCAGAAATGAACTCTAGATAATTTGGTGTGGACCGTGTTCATGGGACTTAAATCCATGTATTTCTTTGTGTTTTAAAACTGAGTAACATGATCTCATGAAGGACAGACAAGGCACAAAGAGTTTTCAGTGAATCACTGAGAGGTAAGAGAAAAACACTTCACTCACTACAATCTCCTACAATCCCAGTTTCTGAGAGCACTCTAAATTTGGTGAAAGCCAGGCACACTGGCACATGTCGGTAGCCCTAGCTACTTAGGACGCTGAAGCAGGAGGAATGCTTGAGTTCAGGAGTTTGAGGGAGCCTGGACACCAAAGCAAGATCCTATCTAGAGAATAAAGAAATAATAATAACAATAATAAATAATGATTAAAAAAAATTCCAGTAATTTCAAAATAAATATATTTGCCCCCTCAATTAAATTGTTTGCCCCAAACTGTTTCCCTTATAAGTCAAAGGAATTTTACAAAAATTTATATGCTGCTGCAATTAGCTAAATTAGTGGGGGGAACTAGGCAAAGGAAGAATCAAGGTAGGAAAGAAAACAAAGGAAAGAAGTCATGTTGATGGGTGGCTGTTGCCCTCTCCCCTGAGAAAGCTCCTCTGGGAGGTGCACTCCTGGCCTCTGGCCCCAGCTCCTCCTTCAGGGAGGTGGGCCAAGTGCATCATGCCCAGGGTGGCACACTTGAATGTGCACCCGAGAGAAGAAGTTGAGAAGCTGTCCTCCTAAGGCAAGTGCACTTGTCTGCAGAGACCTGACATCCTTCTGCAGGGCTGCAACACCAAGCTGTCTTCTCCCACTAGTTTTGTTTGGTGATAAAGCTGACATTTGGATCTCCACTGTTCTGTCTCGTGTGTCTATTTCTCAGTTAGTTGGAACCCAGGTGGTGGTAAATGGGTGTTATTTATTGGCCCCTCAATCCTCAAAGGCAAGTTGCATAAAACATGTACTGAGATATTCTAATTGTATATGAGGCAGGTCCACACTTTGGCTCGAAACTTTCTAGCAGCCAATGAATACCAATTTAATACATTGCTTTGTTCTTAATTTAAGATAACCTATTCACAAATATTCCCTTATGAAACTATTGGGAAATATCTTCTATCAATTTTCATAAGAAAATGCCATAATGGAATTAGCAACATCTTAAGAACATCCTTAGAGTAAATTCAGGGCAATAGGAACATGACACTTCCTAGATATTAAAGTACTTAGTGGTCTGGTTTAACCTGGGAACACACTTCAAGAGGGAGGTATTTACCCTCTATGGAACTTGACTAAAGCTCAGGAATACTGGGACTTCAAGAAGCCTACCTAAGGATATCTTGGTATTTATGGACCTCTTAAGACTCTTTGAGTTTAAGAAATCTTGTACATTCCAATGAGTATTAGCCCTAGTGTACTAGATAAATTCTGGTGTTATTCTGTGTGTCAGACAGGTACATAGTCATAAATATTGCAACATCAAAGAGTAAAGGACTTGGCTTTACATCTTATGAAAGAGAACTGGTCTAATACTGCCTGGAGAAAGGCCACCCTAGTGAGTATAGAAAAGGAGGTGAGTGCAGGGAGGTAAATATAGGAGCCTAGGTTTTGGGGAGTAAAGAAGTAATTTGGGTTCTCCTCTACTGCAGTCTCCAAGCTCTTTGTCTGAGGCAACTGGGTTAATTGCTATACAGCTGTCCCTAGTTCGTGACAATAAGACCTTTCCCTACATGTTTTTCTCTATGGTTGGGATGGGGCAGTTAGATGGGCACAACAGGAGACCAGCTCTATCAAAAGGGACATTATGTGCATAATTAGTACATGTTCATCAAAAGTAATATAT